ATCTAGGTGTATCCATTCATCATCGTTGGTGCAGTACGGTAGTTAGAACTGGTAGTATAGTAGAACAAGGCAGAGGTCCGGGCAAGTTAAGCAAGTACTTCCTGACAGAGAACACTGCAGGTAGATAATGATTATAATATACTGTTCTGTATTGTGATATATGCTTGCTTGGTCATGATTATGATGAGCCTAGGCCTACCTAACATCATGAGATATTGTGTGACTAGTTTAATTAATGATGATTCCATTACCTGGCGATAATCCTATGATATTGTACTGTGTACAAGAGTAGCATTTAAACCTTTGGGGTTTTGGGGTGTTTAAAAGGACATGGGCTGCTTGGGAATTTGTACCGTGTTGGAGTAAGGTTTATGGGTGGTGTATGGGTCTTATTTAATTCCTAGCACATTTGTTCATTTGCCAATGATAGATGGCTTTATACTGTTATACTGTATGTTCACGATGATTTACCTATAACTGCCCACCTGTATGTAGAGGTACGGCTGTAACAAGTCAGTCATTTAATAATTATAGATATTATAGTCTGGATAACTAGTGATGTGATATTTACCAAAGTTTTCATTGTTTACATGATTTGCAAACTAAGTGACCCTAATTCTATATTGATAGTGTACAGTATGTATGACTATGGTTTTCTGAGGTTTATTTCCACAGGGGTTTTTTCTTTTTCGTTTTCTTTTGTTTGGCTTTTTCTGGTTCTGATCAAGTTGTGACGACTCTCGTCGGAAGTAAACATAGAACTGAAGTTAAAACATATATTTGCAGTTAGCGTGTTTGATTCTTGTCGAAGCCTACCACAATACCATAGCCTACTAAGCTAATCGCTTATTTAGATAGGCTACCATAAATATATGAATCGATTCAATAACCGAATCGAAAGATTGACAATGACCAAGTGTTAAGAAACTTCAAAAAATAAAACAAACTTTTGAAATACCTAGTTAAAAGAACAACATAAGTTATGAATTGTTATTTGGCCTAACATAATAAACAGTTTAAAATGATTTACTGATGTTTTACTAAATAAGTAATTAAATTTGCTTTTAATAAATTTAGGGGTGCATGCCTAGTCTGTAAACACCTCATTTTTGTTTAGGTTTCTAGTTTTTATATTTGTAGTTGAATAAAGAATTGTTAGTATTGAACAATGGAGTGATAAAATTGATTCGAGTGTGTCAGGACATAGAAAGAAGAAAATAAATATCATCAGAACTTTGACAGTCATCATAGCCCCCTAACTACTAAAATAAAGCTCTTCCACTGTCACCCATTTAAAATATTCGAATGTAAACAACGCTTAAGTAGTTTAAAATCATCTATTTTGCAAACAAGCTCCCCGTCACCTAATCATCGAGACTTCTCCTAATTTAGCTCCCTACCCATGTCAACTATTCTCTTATATACCATTTTAACACTGCCAAGATGAGAATACTTACTTAAGCCTTGTTTCATTTGGCAGTGCATAGGCAATCAACTACATGGTCTTCATCTTGCACGGTTTTGAGCAATTCGTTCCACTTCTGTCCAGTTGTAACCAGCATTTCTGACCTCCTTTCCAGCTCTCTACTGCAGGTGTTTTTTTTTCGGGGGGGGGGGCGTCCTCCATTACCTTTTCCCTGTGGATTCCATGTAAGGGCTTGTCTCGTTATGGTTTCCTCAGTGTGTTACCAGTCTATATCAATTTCCTTCTGACGATTTTAGTTTCCACTGGCTTCTGTCCCGTCTTGTTTTTCTCTTTAATAATGTTAAGGCCAAGCATTTGATGACTTTTCAAACAGTCTGGTTTTGGTTTGCACTAGTTGATGTGTATGTGATGAGAAAACAATGTCATCTGCATAGTCCAAGTCTTCTAGCTGTTCCCACAAAGTCTATTGAATCCCTTTCCCTTGTATTGTCTGTTTCATTATCCAGTCTATAGCAAAATTGAACAGGAACGGATCCATCAATCCTCCTTGCCTTACACCTGTTTTGATTTTAAAATTCTCGGATAAGGCAGTCTCCTCATGTAAAACTTGACAGCTAATTATTTTGTATGAACTTTTCTGCATATGGAAACGTTGTATCATTTGCTCTCCAAGGTCGCCTTAACCATTGGAGAAAACTGGATTTTTTTTTTTACAAAAGTACGTTTTTGGTACAAAATCTAGGATTTTCTTGTAATGGCCCAAGCAGATTATGTTGTAAAAATAGTAATCTACCAATACGTGAAGAAAAAATGAAAAAAATCCCTACAGTTTTGTCGGAATACGCCGATTTATAACAGCTCCTCACGCCGATTTAGATAGAAAATTTCAAGAATTTTGAGGTTTTTGGCTGTTCCGAGCTCGTTTCTTACTCCATCACTCACAGACTATTTGTTTGTTCGAATTGGCCCAAGTGGATACGTGGAGAGAATATAACAAGCTTGAAGCTGATATAAAACTTAGTATGATTGGTTATGTAGTTTCATCGGAAAATAAGAAAATAAAAATCCATCCAATCCACGATTGCCTCTCATGGGGTCAAACAATCTCTCAAGCGTGATAGTCCGATTCACTGGTATGACGTCATACTTCTGTTTGTTTGACTTGTGTTCGCAGTGTTTGACTTCTTTGTTCGTGTATTTTGGCCTAATTTAGTTATCAGTTGGATTTTTTGTGTGCTTTTATTACCTTTATTAAAAAACAAATGTCCCAAGACAGGATACTTGCAGCAATTAAGCTATATTTCTGCAAAAAATGAAATTCAGAGTCTGGACCGTTTGAAAATTGCCGTAGGGATGTACCGTAGAGCTAAGCCATTCCCGCCAACACGAAAGTGTGGACTAGAGGAAGAGAGATCTCAGCATTTGTTCACTTTACATTGTACTATGTGTACTGTTAGATATGTGTTCAAATACAATATTTAACTAAAGAATATTGACTGTGCAGATTGAGTTTTGTTAGTATTTAACCCCATAATGAAAATGAAACAAACCCAATGTTTTTAATTGGTCGACCCAAACTGCTTGTACAGCAGGGTTGATTTGACCTCGGTTCGGTGCTTTCGTGATAGCTGGACTAGCAAATGATATAAAGTGGCAAAAACGTTTCCATATTACGGAGGCACCTAAGTGCCATTGGACTTGACGACTTGTCAAGATAATTTATGTTGTCAAGTCGACATAATATACATACATGTCGACATGGCGAGATAGATTATCTTGACAAGTCGACATAGTAAAAATTGTATGTTGTCATGGCTAGATAGATTATCTTGACAAGTCGACATATGTCGACTTAATTATCTTGACAAGTCGTCAAGTCGAATGGCACTTAGATGCTTCCGTACCATATGATTCCATAGTGCCTCATTATCTTCCACAGTGTTGGTCTGTCTAATCTATCGATTGTATTTTCGTAATCAAGAAAATTCATCCAAAGTGGGCTGTTCCATTATATTGATTGTTCCAATATTATTATGAATGTGGCAATCTGATCATGATTTCTCTTTCCGAAATCCTGCTTGGTTGTCTCTTAAGGTCTTGTCAAATCTAGCTATCATTCTAACACTCCGAAATCGTATCGATTATTTCCATCATCATCTCCAATGAGAATAACCTTGTGTTAATTCCTGAATGATACCGGATGTATTTCTATCTACATCGCTTCAATAACATTAGCTTCAAACTAAAGCCCCTCTCCCACCTAGGTTTATTTCACCTAAGAGTCGTACGATTTCTACGAGTTAAAAATGGTGATCTTTGGAAAGGACCTATACGAGCTTATTAGGCCTACGTGTTAGCTACGAGTGAGGTACGACTTTATGGAGTTGGTTACGAGTTATGCCGAGCAGAGCACCGAGTTAATTCCGAGATTATTACGAGCGTAACAAGTTTGTACCGAATTAGATACGAGTTAGGTACGAGCCAACTCGGTGTGCTCGTACTTACTCGTACTCTTTTTTGGGTGCTCGCATCAAACTCGTAGATGACAAAACCGCCGACGAGTATCCAGAGTAGTGTACGAGCTAGGTAGGAGTACCCCGGGTACTCTACGAGCTACCTACGAGTTCTTCGAGTTTACTACGAGTTATCTACTCGTGGCGATAATTTTGAACAGAGACAGGAGCTGCTACGAGTAGGTAAGAGTCCTCTCCGAGCTTTCCGAATCGTCCTACGAGTTTTTGCCGAGTTAGCAACTCGGCATTCTCTTGTAACTCGTATGGTGAAAAAACCCCTAGTGGGAGAGGGGCTTTACGCTCCAATAGACCTTTTCGCTAAGCTTCGCCCCTTAGATTTTGATGGTATCTCATGTATTTGATATCATTTTTAAAATGAGTGTGGGTAAACATTTTTCTTTTCAATTAAAATTTT